TGAATTCGACCTCATCACAGGATGCCAACCTTGGTGAGGCCACTCTGTGGCCCCATGACTCAGGACATAAACAAGACCACCCAGCCCAGCCCCAGGGGCACAGACAGTGGGGCATTGCATGGGAGGCTGGAGCCAAATGGGAGGCCCAGGTTCTGTTCCCAGCCTGAGTTCAGGCAGGCCGAGTGTGGTCATGTGCACCTGTAATCCCACTACCAAGCAGACGGGGCCAAGGCTCCCAACACAGCAAGACTCCATCAGAAAGACCAGTTTCAGGACAGCCCCATCGTCTAGCGGTTATGGTAGCCAGATCCCATGAGGCCAATTGCAATTTGTTTTGTTTGTTTTAATTTTTAAATTTTTTTATTATTTAAATTTATTTATTATTATTATCATTATTGTTTAGTTTGCTATAGGACACATGCACTCAGAGAAGGGCAGGGAGAAAAAGTGAGAAAGCAAGCCACCAGGTCTGGGACTCAAACTGTGGTCGACCATGTGGGAGTCCAGTAACCCAACCACCACGCCACCTGCTGGCCCCTGACCAATTGCAATTTGAATTCCAGCCCCAGGGGTTTGAAAATACAGCAGGTGCATAAGCGTGCATGCCCGAGTCCTGATGAGATGGAGAAGGGACTGCGGGAGGACCATGCCCTGTTGCAGGGGTGCTTTCTCTCTCTCTGGAAAGCACACACGCACCTTCCTTCTGTCTAGCCGTTCCTTACACACAGGTCCCCACTCGTGTCTCGTGCTCCAGGCCACTGCTGCTCTGCTTCCTGTGCCCTTAGCAGAGTTTTACCTGTGAAAAATTTCATGCAGGACTGGGCCCATGGCCTGATGGTTAAAGGACCTAGATCCCACATAGGCAGTCACGGTCAGGCCCTGGCCCTCGGCAATGAAAGCGCAGAACTGCATTTCAGGAAAGCGTGACTGACGGGGGAGGGCGCGGTTCACACCAGAACATTCTGGGCTTCGCACTCACAGTGGTGAGCTGTGGTCTGCAGCCTTCTTCTTTCTTTTTCTTTTTCTTTTTTTTTAAAATCATTTCATTTTATTTATTCATTCATTTATTTTAATTTGACCAGGAAGAGAGAGAGAGAGAAAGAGAAAGTGGGAAAGCCACCAGGTCCAGGACTGGAACCAGAGTAGGCCATGTGGGAGTGTCCAGTGCATTCACCACCACGCCACCTGCTGGTCCGCCAGACTTCTTTTTTCTTTAAGAATTATTTTATTTTGGGGCCGGCAGGTGGCATGGTGGTTAAGGGTGCTGGACTCCCACATGGCTGACTGCAGTTGGAGTCCGGGACCTGGCAGCTTGCTTCTCACTTTCCCTTTCTCTCTCCCTCTCTCCTCCTCTCGCTCTCACTCTGTCCCTCTCTCGTCAAAGTACAATAAATTAAGTAAGTTAAATTAAATATTTTTTAAAAAGAATTTCATTTAACTTTATGTATTTATTTATTGTAATTTGACGAGAGAGGGACAGAGTGTGTGTGTGAACGACAGAAAGGGAACGTGAGAAAGCAAGCCACCAGGTCTGGGACTCAAACCATGGTAGGCTGTGTTGAAGTCCAGCAAATTTAATCTCCATGCTATCTGCTGGTCCCCGGCCTTCTTCTCCTTCCCCTCCTCCTCCTCCTCCTCCTCCTCCTCCTCCTTCTTCTTCTTTTTTTAATTTAAGAGGGAGATTTTTGCTAAAGGGCATATATACTTGCCAGAGAGACAGAGAGAAACACACAGAGATGGAAAGAAATTACTCCCCAGGGGAATGGCCATACCACAATCTCTTCTCCTCCATTGTCTTCTTAGAATCTTGGGCATGCACACACATGTACCCAGTGTAAGTTGTTGTTGTTAATTATTTATTTTATTTTATTTATTCATTCATTTTATTTTTTAGTTTAACCAGAGAGAGACAGAGGGTGAGAGTGAGAGAGAGAGAGGAAGTGAGAAAGCAAGCCACTAGATTCAGGACTTGAACCCTGGTTGGCCATATGGGAGTGTCCAGCGCCTTAATCACCACGCTAAGTTTTAAGCCATCAGGTCCAGGACTCAAATTGTGGTCGACGATGTGGGAGTACAGTGACATAAACATTACACCATCGGCTGGTCCCAGCCTTCTTCTTTCCTTGATTTATAGGCAGGGACAGAAGCACTGAGCAGATGAGATATAATAGGTTTGGCCACTTCATAAAGTTGAGAACACCAAAAATTGAATTAATTTGCACAGCAACGTGGTTTAAAATAGCCCAGAGCTGGGAACAGCATGAATGTCTATCCAGGAGCAATGGTCAGGACATTACTGTACATCCATGAGACAGAAAACTACAATGATTTAAAACAATGAGGTAGATGTTATTTATTTAAGAAAGAAAGAAAGTATGGAAGGAAGAAAATAAAGAATAACCACAGCAAAAAGAGAGAGTATGTCTATATGTTCTGAGCTTAAAAAATGATCATGGGATATTATTAGGTGAAAAAAGTAACTTACAGGGCCAGCAGGTAGCATAGTGGATAAGGTGCTGGACTCCCACATGGCTGACTACAGTCTGAACCCTGGACCTGGAGGCTTGAGACTCACACCAGGCACCTGTGCATGCATGCTCAAAATTCCGGAGGAGAGTAGAGGAGAGAGGATCATAGTATGGCCATCCTCTCTGGATGGTGATTTCTCACTTTCCCTCTCACTGTCTCTCTCTGTGTCTACAACAAGCTGGCACCGTACAGCAAAAACAAAACTGAAAAAAAAGCAAATTGCACACTAATATGCATGCCATGCTTCCATTTAGAAAATCAGTGTATGGGGGGCTGGCAGGTGGTGTGGTGGTGAAGACACTGGAGTCCCACATAGTCAACCACAGTTTGAGTCCCAGACCTGGCGGATTGCTTTCTCAGTGTCCCTCTCCCTCCACCCACCCCTTTCTTTGTCTCCCTCTGGTGGAATGGAAGAAAAATAATAAACAAATAAAAGCAAACAATTCTTTTTTGGGAACCAGCAGTTGGTGTAATGACTATGTTGCTGGACTCCTGTGTAGTTGACAGCGGTTCAAGTCCCAGACCCGGTGGCTTAAACTCACGCCAGGCGCATGTGTGTGTGTGCCCAAGATCCCTAGAAGAAAATGGAGAAGGGAGTGTGACGTGGCCATCCCCCTTGGGGGGGGTGATTTCTCGCTTTCTATCTCTCTGTCTCTCTCTTGTCTTTCTGGTGAGCGCACACGCCCTATAGCAAAAATCTCTCCAAAAAAAAAATCAGTGTATGTTTAAATATATGTACATATATTATAAATATGCATATTCCTAGGACAAAATCAGGAAGAGCATGGCCCAAACTGTCAACTACAGTTACCTAGGGTAGAAATGAGAAGGTCAGGGCCAGCAGGTGGAGTGGAGGTTAAGGTGGCTGAATCCCACATGGCCAACTATATGGTTTGAGTCCCAGACTCAGCGTAAAAAAAAAAAAAAAAAACACTGGACATGTGTGTTCTCCCCCATTAAGGGGTGCTTTCTCTGTGTGTCCCTCTGACAAACACATGTGCTCTCTGGCAATTAAGGGGAAAAGAACACTTTTAAAACGGTGGGCTACAGGGCTGGCAGACCCACATCACTCATCCCAGCTGTACCCACTCCGCCATCACCCAGGACCTCGGGCTCTTGGCTTTGCTCCCACCCCCGTGTCACAGTCTCCATAGCTCCTCTCACTTCTGATGGGCTCAGATGACCACAGGGGTTGGGGCCGGCAGGTGATGTGGTAGACTCCCACATGGTCAACTGTGGTTCAAGTCCCATACCTGGAGGCTTGCTTTTTCACTTTCTCTCTCTCTCTCTCCCCTTCGCTGATCAAATTAAATTAAATAAAGTTAAGTAAAATAATTCTTTAAAAAGAAGAAGACCACAGGGGTAAGGACAGGTCCAAGCCTGGTAGAGGGGACCCACCTGGAAATGGGGGAGACCGATGCCCCATGGGGAGAACTAACTGCATGGCCATGCCCCAGGGCGTGGTTTCTTGCTTTCTGTTTCTCTGTCTCTCTCTCTCTCTGGCCAGTGCACATACTCTACACCAAAAATCTCTCTCTAAAAAAAAAAAGAAAGAAAGATGCACTTCCGGGACTGGCCCCTGACCTGGTGGTTAAGGAAGCCGGATTCCACATGGCTGACTGAGCTGTTCAAGTCCCGATGCTGACACCTAGAAAAACATGCCAAGTGCGTGTGTATTCATACACACCCCAAATTCCACCACCCCAAAAAAAAAAAAAACAGCAGAGACTGGGGAGACGGGACTGCAGCGGGACTGTTCTCCATGGGGGGGTGTTCTCATTTCATGTTCTCTGGTAATCAAAATAAGGGCGGGAGGCCCCTAGTAGGCCGGAGGTTAAAGCAAATGAATCCCACATACCCGACAGCATGTTTCAAGTCCTGGACCCAGCAACCTGAGAGACAAGCCAGGTACATGTGCACGCATGCGCAAAACCCTGGCGAGGGAGGTGGAGGAATTGCAGCTGACCACCCCGCCGGAGGCGTTCTCACCTCTCCCCCTCCCCCTCCCCCAGCAAGCACACGTGCTTTCATCACGCTGATGACGTCAAAATACACCACGACCACGCCAGTCTGTCCAATTGGACCAGTGGGAGGAGCAGGAGGAGGTGGGGAAGTGCTGGGTCCGAGGCCAGGAGAGTTGTCCGCCCTTGGGACCTACCGGCACCGGCCCAGGCGAAGCCGTGTAGGGCTGATGGCTGCTCGGACTCCTGAAACCTCGTGAAAGTGGATCCCCGTGACAGGACCACTGGCGACGTCACAGACAAGCTGCCCGCCAGTACCCCGGACGTCGCCTTTCCAGCCGCAGTGTGGTTTCCCAGGCCCCTGTGGCCTGCTTTTTCAGGAAGCAGTAACTTCTCCTTCCACAGAATCACTGCTTCTGTCTGCCACAGCCCCAGACAAGTGCCTTCCAGGGTGGGGAACCGGCTGTCACCTGCTCTTCCTCCCACCCTAACCATGGAGGGTCCCCCAACCAGTCCTGCGAACTCTCCCCCAGAGATCTCTGACACCTTGTGCTTGCCCACCTGCTGGGGGCCTCAATCCCTTGTTACCGGTGGCTCAGGCAAGGCTCAAGATCAGGGGGAGCACTGAGACTTTCCTCAGGTCCATAGTCTTTATCTTTTTGTTTAAGATTTATATCTTATTATTTGATTCTATGTGTTATTATGGTTATTATTTTTTATTTGACCAGAGAGAGAGAGAAAGGGAAAGCGAGAAAGCGAGCCGGCAGGTCCGGGCGTCTAACCATGGTCAGCCACATGGGAGTCCAGAGCCTTAAGCACCACACCATCTGCTGGCCCCACAGTCTTTATTCAAACAAACAAACAAGTTTTAAACACTTCCTTATGAAAACTTTCAAATATTACCAAGGGAATGACTATAAGGTGATGACCCTCCACGGCAGACCCGTCCACAGTTTCAGTGATGATCAAGGAAACGGCCGGTCTTCATTTCAGCATCGCGCAGTCACGCCACCTCCTCAGAGGACGATTCGGAAACAGCAAACAGTCCCACAGGGCCAAGTGCATGGTTCGAATCCTGGCCCGTGAGTAACACTGGGAGCACGTGTGTGAGTGCCCCAAGTCCCAACAGGACGGAGAAATAGAGACGGAATGGCACCATGACCGTGCCCCATCGGGGAGCTCTTTCTCTCTCTCTGTCACTCTCACACGAGTGCACACTACATCTGGCAAAATAAAAAAATAAATCATAGGAGGCCAGCAGGTTGGTGTGGTGGTTGAGGTGACGGACTCCCACGTGGTGGACCGCAGTTCAAGTCCCAGACTTGGCGGCTTGCTTTCTCCCTTTTGCGCTCTCTCTCTGTCTCTCTCTGGTCAAATTAAACAATAATCATGATAGTAAAGAGAATTAAAGAAATAATTCTTTAAAAATAGGGCAGAAATGTGATGTGAATAAAAGTCCCAGTGGCATCCCACGTCACACCCCCTAGAATGGCTGTGACCGAAAGGACAGACAGTAACAAGTGTGGGGAGCCGTGGAGGAACTGGGATGTCCACGGATTGCTAGTGGGAATGTGAGTTGGGCAGCCCCTTGGGAAACAGTCTGGCAGTTCCCCAAAAGTTTAAACATGGGGTTAACAGGTAAGCCAGTAATTCCAGTCCTGGACCTGTCCCCACTCCTAAGAGAAGATGCAAACCCAAGTCCACACAAACACCCACACGTGAATGTCTCTGCCTTCATTATTCGTAATGCCCAGGAGTGGAAGTGGCCCAAATGTCCACCGATGGATGAATAAATGAGCACAACGTGGCTTACCCATACCACGGAATAGTATTCAGCCGTGGAAAGGAATGAAGCCCGGGCACATGCTACCCACGGATTAACCTCAGAAATGCCACGCCAGGGGAAAGCAGCCAGACCCAGGGGGCCACGTCGTGTGTGGTTGCATTTTCAGGGATGTCCAGGATAGGCAGACCCGTGGGCACAGAAAGCAGACAAGCGGTTACCTCGGACGAGGAGGGCAGAGACTGGGGGTGGCTACCACCACGCACAGGCCTTGGGATGGAAGTGCACGGAAAGGCTGGACCTCAGTGCTGGACCTCAGTGCTGGTCGCAGTCCCGGACTACGCTAAACCACTGCACGTACCGGGTGGTAAAGTGTCCTCTGGTTAACTAGCCCGACAGGGCTCTGTGTGCCTGTCGTTCCAGCTACCTGGGAGGCTGAGGGAGGGAGGTTGAGAGTTTGAGGCTAGTCTGGGTAACCTTGCGAGACCCTGTCTCTGAAATAGAAATAGAAGTAAAGATTAGGAGTACCCCGCCTCCTTAAAAAAAAGAGAAATGCTAGAACACACAACACCAGATGGACTGAATTCAAATCCAGTCAGACCTATTGATCGGACTACCGCTTCAAAAGACATAACAGTGGTGAAAATAGCGAAATCCAGACTGAGAATCTCTGCAAGACTAACAACCCTGCTTTAGCAAAATGAATTTCCAGGGACAGATGATAGACAGATGATAAATGGATAATAGAGATAATGAACTAAGGAACAAATCAACCTGTTGCAATATGTGCTATTTGGATCTTGAGTTAATGATAACATTACTGTTCATTTTTTAAAATTACTTATTTAATTCTATTTGTTATTATTATTATTTTATTTGACCAGGGAGAAACAGAGA